GTCTTTTTACGCGTTGCGTTGCATCGCGCCGCGTAAACATAAACATAACCATGTCTGCATTTGTGATCAGAGAAATGACAAACAACAAGCGCTACTCTACACTGACCAAAACTCACGTTTAAATCATCAGTGGCAAATTCTTTAAATATAAAAAGCGTACTTACAGTCTGTGAGTCAGAACAGCCAGCATTGTAGTCTACTCTACCAGGATCAGGAAACAGTCCTCCATAAATGTGCTGCACACATCTGAATATTTGGGTTGAAGTGTTCTGGAACAGTGTTGTACATACAACTTAACCACTGATTTCTAGTCGTGTCCTCTTTTGAAAGGCCAAACAAAGTAGTTTTGCTTTCACAACGAAACACAGCGTCACACACGGCGGGCTAGAGTGAGCGGAGGCCGGCAGCTAGAGTGAGGAACAGCCTGAGTGAGCCGAGGCCGGTGGGCTTGAGAACGGCGCAGCCGGCGGATTCGACGAAGGAGCGGCCAGCGGGCTTGCGGCAACCACATGTGACGACCCCGGGCTGGACTCCGCTTCATCCACGGTGAAAGCCGATCTGGCGATCCACAGCGCGAAGTTGATGTATTTCCTCAGCGACCAGCACGGATCAGCTCTAGGCATGACGAAGCGGATATCGTCCTCTTTTGGAAGACCAAACAAAGTAGTTTCGCTTTCACAACGAAACACACGGCAACAACAATACTACAGCGAGAATAAAAAGTTATGCCTTCTTTCTTTGCGTGAACATTTGGGCGGCGTTATGCAAATCTTCCCACATCGTGACGTAGACATGTGGGGGGTGTGTTAGAACGAGCCGTTTTAGGTAGGCGTGGTTGTTAACTTTTATAAAGAATATCTCTTTAGAAGACTTTAGTCTTTGCAACTTTACAGATCTTCTTTATGCACCAAGAGCTTGTAACACTTCAAAGAGAAAGGAAAAATTTAAATCACATCATATGAGAATTTTACCGCCAAGCCCATTTAGCTAACATGTCTCATTTTTTGAACATTTTCAGACATGTAAATTGTTGGCTTATATATACATATGTACATGTGTGTGTGTGTGTGTGTGTGTGTGTTTTGCAATGCGTAAAATTTAGTTCAGTGTGTTGCTTGCTATTTCTTTGTATTTTGCTGTAAAATTTGCAAATTGTTTCTAACCCACTTTTTTTTCAGTAGAATGCAGTTAGAATGCCCCCAAAATCTTTTACTTCTATATGATACAGTTAAGCAAGTATGCTTTTTTTTTTTTTTACCAAATATCAGCACTATTGCAAATATGATATTGACAAGTGTCATTTTTTTTAAATGATTTCATATTTCAATATTAAATTTTTTTTTTTAAAACATTATAAGATGATGCATGCATCTAATAGGGTATAATGAAAAAGTCACTGCTGTGAACTAATCACCACACAGAATGTTACTGTCCAATACAGGCCTTACCCAGTAAAAGTACCAGCCCAAAAACACACTCAGCAAAATATCATGAAATTATTAGTGACAAAAAAAAAAATTTAAACATCCAGAAAATACAGAGATATATACTTTTGTCAATATTGCACACCACTCTATAAATAATTATGTATCAATTAGAGCAAGAGTCCAGGCTGCAACAGCATTCTTGCACCTGTTTTGGCAAAGAGCAATGAGAAGAGGTGCTTTTTGGTTTTCAGCTGCAAGAAGTATTGTGCTCATCCACAGAATCAGACACTGCTGTTCACCACGAGTAAACTGCTCCAGAGTTGGTTTTCAATCAGGCTGAGACCACCTTGTTCAGACTACCTTAGACTGATTTGTTTTGTGCGGATAAGAGTGTGATTTCTGTGTTGCCAATAACGAATAGAACTAGTGGAGGAAATGTGCCAGCTTCCTAAACAAATGCTCCAATTCAAAACTAAGGGCGTCACATCTGGCTCGTTTAAAGCAGGAACAAACAATTATAACTTTGGTGCAGGTCAGCTCGGTTTAGTGCACAGGTCCTTTGCTTAAAGTCAGTGCTTATGTAATTCAGCTCTTGGAATTTGGAAAAATGAAGCTTTGGTGAGATCATATAATAAGCAATGACGTTTATTCATTTAAATCCAAGCATTTCATGTTGTTTCCTGATTTTTTTAGCTGCTTGAACACACTGAAGTTATAAAGTTGTTTGGCTTTAAGTCTTGGTTTGGTTGGTTGGTGTGAATTTGATTCTAACACCCTCTCCCCTCCTTCCAGTGGTCTCTTTTTACATTACATTTGGGTCTGAACCTGAGTGCCACAACAAGTACAATCGGAAGCTTACCACCGAAACTTTACACGCACAAATCAGCGCTTGCATTTATCTACCATTGCAAGAGATGAAAGACAGATACAAGAAATTAATTGTTTTTTGTAAGTGGTAGCATGCAAAGATACAAATTATACATCATCAGTAATGATTTGCAAGTTAGGACAGTTGCTTTCATACCAACTCAAACTGTATTGCAGTACATGTGAACTGTTCTTCTGACCACCCTTTTAGGCAGACTCGGGTGCAATTCACATATATATTTAGAAAACTGCTTTCAAAGCAATTAAAAAAAAAAAAAGAAAGGGAAAAAAAAAAACTATCTCTGACATGAAACTCTGCACCAAATCGTCAAGTCTGAAGGTGTCCTAAAATATAATTAATCTACTTTTGAAAAGCACTTCTACTTTCTTTACAGTGATATACAAGAGAAATGTTGTACCTTCTGCAGCCATTGCGTGTTGTTCTCCATGATGGTTTCTAGTTGTTCCAGTCTTTGGATTGAGCTGTCATAGTCAACCAGGTCATCTCGTTGCACTTTGTTGGTGTAGGTGCTCGAAGGGCCTCCGCAGTCCTGTGGTTCTGGCAGCAGAAAGGTGTAGGTGCATGGCCCATTCTGGATCTGGTACTGCTTCTTTCCTGTTGTATCTGAATTGGCCATAAATACTTCCCCAACACTAAGGCAATAACTTAGTAGTAATAGTATCCCAGGGTTCAGCATTTTTGTTCTGAAACTTTAAATACTTCTACCTGTGCAAGTAAAAAATATCTTCCTTTTTCCCTTATTTAGAGGTCTGGATGTTGCAAGAATAAAGCCACTGAGTCTCAGTGTCTACATCCAGTTGATTCTCCTTTTCCAGGATTGTGCTCCCACTGTGTGTGAGCTTCGCTTATATGCCATCAAGAGTAGGAGGAGGAGACAGTGTCACAGAAGCACTAATAGAGTATCACTTGCTCCCAGGCTGCTTGTACTCATCCCTCATCAGTCTAACAGGCTGTTTTCTTAACAGAGTCCTCTGTGAAAGGACTGCGACTCCTCCCATGATCCGTGGCCTCTGTTTGAAAAGCACTGCTTAGATAGAGGAGCATAAAGAACTCTCCAGCCAGACAGGATCTCTAATTAAACTCTTCCTGCTGGATGCTCCTTCTTGCCTGTATCTGCTCCAATGAAAGCCAAGACAGTGGGTCCCACCAGTGGGAGAGGACGAGGACGCAATGGTTGTATTTGTTTTTTTCTTAGAGGGCTGCTACAGAAAAAAGGCAACTCAGGATGCAGCTGTATAATTCAAGTAATGCAATTTCAGCAGTGTCCAAGTCACACCATATGACCACGTCCAGATGTGTGTTTTGCTGTGCTTTTGTCCTTCTACATTCTCTTCTTCAAAGCTCTGGTCCCCCTGAATGTTTAAAGAGAGATAAAGAGGTTGGTCTTTCTGTTGTCACTCACACTATAATTTCTAGACCATAATTTCCTGCCCTAGATCTCCAGAAGTCTGACAATTTCGTCATTGAAAACTGGAAATGAGGTTTTAGGGGTTTTTTTCATATAAAATGAAGACAGGTAAAGCATCCTCAAATTCTGTAGAAATGTTTTAATTGATGTCAGTTTTTCAGGTTAACTTGTTGCTCAGATTATGTTGTTAATATGATTTGTAATAAAACATTTTGTATTAATCGTCGACATTGCTTTGTAAAAGGTGTTAAACTAATGACTTATGGTTAGTTGTAAGGTTTTCAAAATTACAGTCAGCCTATATTAAATTTAAATTGAAGTCTGATTCTGCATTAGTATTGGAAATGTAAAAATAGAATACTATTAGGCCAGTTTGTAATAGCATTTCCTCATTTCAGATGATCACAGTATATTGGCCTGAAAAGCTGACATGGAGGAAGGGGAAGGCAGGTGTTGAGGGAGGAAATAATTCCGCTCAGAGGATGTTTTGTCTTTTAACCCCTTGGGTGTCTCCTGCTTGGATATCAAGTTCTTGTCGTCACTTCCATTAACACCTGAGAGAACATTGCTTTATGATGACGATCAAAGCTTCTTTTCAGTCTAGAGTGCGTCACAGTTTTCACTGGAAATGTATCTGAACAATTTTTTTATTCCACTTTTGACAAATCAGTGTATCAAATGTTAAACTTGTATATTATTTAAAGTGGTCATATCATAATGAATTAAATGCTATTCACTGTTTATTATTTTAAGTTTAAAAGCTTACGTATGGTGTACTTTAAAGGGGTCATATGATGCTTTTTTAAAGATCATTATTCTCAACCCTGTTCTTGGAGGTGCACCAACAGTACACATTTTCAAACATTATCAAACACATCTCCAGGAACAGGGTCTGGAAACAAATTTCCAAAACTTAAAATGTCCTCCTCAGTCCAAAAAGAGAATTTACAAAAAAAAAAAAAAAAGACTCCTATTATGAAGGTAGAATGACGTCAAAAAGATTTGCATACGCAGGGTAAGAGTTGTGAAAGTGTACATAAGACTGTAAGCGTAAATTAAATTTGCATGCGCAAGAGAAGCTTTGTAAAGGTGTAAATCGTGTTTCTTGCGCTTGAAACACGATTTACACCTTTACAAAGCTTCTCTTGCGCATGCAAATTTAATTTACGCTTACAGTCTTATGTACACTTCCACAACTCTTACCCTGCGTATGCAAATCTTTTTGACGTCATTCTACCTTCATACCTATTCAGTGTTCAGAAACGTCTGGTGCTTTTTCATGGCAAGGTAATCCAGAAGAGCTTTGAGTAAAATGTAATTGTTTTTGTTGTTGTTTGTTTTTGTTTTGTTTAGTTTTTTATTAAATATTTCATAGGTCAGTATGATAATGCTTTCATCTATCAGTAACACACTGCCACATTTAAAATTAATTCCATTAAATTTTTCCCCCAAAATCAGAGCAGAAAATGCAAAGGAAGGCCTGTCGTCGCTCAGGTGCAGGGGCTGAATCATATCTCCACATTACATTGCGTGGGAGGGCTCCTGTTTGTGTTGTTCATTTAATGTCATAAGGAAGTTGCAGGAGGAAGGAAATTACACAATGTCCTTATTTTTCTTAAACGGAGTTTACAGCATGCAAAAGCTCGGTCCCTTTTATTCTGATGAAAGGGTTTGTCATTTACAGTTTTGGGCCGTTTTATTTGTCTTTTTCTTTGTATTACACTAGAGACCTGCTCACATTTTGAAAAAAAAAAACATTTTTTTATTGAAACATTAGATCGGAAACCGTTTAACCCTTTAAATTACATTTCTTTTTAAAAACTGTTGCTTTCCCCTTTTTTTTCTTTAAAATTATCTAATTTTAGATGAGTTAAACATCTTTCCACTGCAGTGGTAGATATTCCAGAAGTAATTTATCACCCATTTGTTTATTTTTAAAGTGCAACGTTGTATGTTGTTATTAAATAAAACAGCACAGTGGTCCTGTCACAATTGCTGTATAGTTTACATCAGTGTAAGCTCAGTAAAAGGGCACATAATGGTCACAAAAGTGCCTATTGTGTGCATCCTTCTGAATTATAAAATGCCTAAAGGAACATAAGTTAGTGACAGAATAGTTTTTATTTCATTTTATTTTATTTTATTTTATAGCTTCAGGAGAAAGTAGAAATTAATGATAGATGATTGATGATTAGCCTTATGAACCATTGATGAAATGGCCATTATATCAACACAGATATCTCTATCAAGATTTTTATAGACTAACCAATAATCAATTTGTGAAAGTCTAGATGAATCTTCATTGCTCCATGTGTATACTCTATCATTTATATTTGTATTCCTCCATATATCTATGAGTTTATCGACGTGTCAAAATTACAGTCAGCATGGACGTGACTGACAGAAGACAATACCTTCTATTTGACAGACAATCATCTGATGCACAACATACATCTAAAGTTTGTAAAATATTAACACAGTGAACCAAAAAACAATCTAAGGCTGATGATACACGGGGCAACTTTTTTTGAGCAATGTTGCTTAGGCACTTTGCTATTGAGAATGGGTAACAAATTTCTATCTGAATAATTTAGATCGGTTGTAAGCCTTGTGTCTCATCTGGTTGCCCGTTGATGGCAACATTTGCCCGAAGTTGCCTGTCAACATTGCTCAAAAAGTTGCCCCATGTATCATCAGCCTGACTATAATCAGTATAGATCAGTATAATCAGTCCCTAAAAAGTGAAAAAATTAGTTTGGTCTGTTTGTGATTTGCGGAACACAAAATTTAATCTGACTGCACTTTTGTTTTACCAGTTTCATTTTTAGTTAAATTAATTTCAAAGTTTGAAATCAAATGCCTTTTTACTGTGTGTAGACCGTTGTGCAATGAAAATGACCTCATAGCACCATTCAAGCTGTTTGTACGTTAAATTAAGTAACATAAACAGACTGAGAACTTCAGTCTTATTAGATAAAAAGGTGTGGACAAAGCTGTCCTTTAGGAACATTCTGCAGTTGAAAACATAAATAAATATATCACAGTAATATTGCAACTTTTAGGCTGATGATACACGGAGCAACTTTTTGAGCAATATTGCTGGGCAACTTTGGTTAATGTGGGCATCAATGGGCAACCAGGTGAGACACAGGGCAAATTTGCTGGGCAACTTTTTTTGAGCAATGTTGCTTGGGCACTTTACCACTGAGAATGGGTAACAAACTTATATCTAGATACTTTAGATCGGTCATGTGTCTCAACTGGTTGCCCGTTGACGGCAATATTGCCCAAACATTGCTCAAAAAGTTGCCCTGTGTATCATCAGTCATGTCACGAAATGTTTAAAATCATATCGTATCGTGGCCTAAGTATTGTGATAAAACTGTACTGCGGGGCCTCTGGTGATTCCCACCCATAATATTGATGTTACATTTTTCTTGAGATCCTGCATTTCTTCAGTTCTGAACTTTTTACCTCTGCTCCTGTTAACGAACCTTCAACTTAGAGGTCTTCAGTTATTCAACACTTTCAAAGTTAAAATAAATTCATGGCATAAATTCCCTTCTTGAGACCTTGAGTCTCCGACATGTGACTCATCCACACCAAAAGTGTAACCTTTACAGCTGTGCACATTTATTTTTGCAGGATGTGTATATTTATGTAAAGTACGGTGAGCTGGAAAAACATGTTCATATTGTTCCATGTAATAGTGAATTTCAGCATGCATTTGAGGGAAGCTTTGATGATATTAACTCAATGAGAGCAAAATAAAACTGTCTGAATCTGAAGACATTGTTGTGTTGCCTGTCTTCCCTCTTCCCCTCCACTCCAAAGAGCACCATGCCCAGTCATGCAGCATTTTTCAAAACTGTGGTGAGAACTAACCGGGTCTGAAACAGGGGCTTTACTCACCCTCGGGCCATCCAAGATGTAGGTGACTTTTTTTTTCTAAAGTAGAAGAGTCAAGAAGATTTTTAGCTGGTCAACAGCTACCGTCTCTTTGAGGGCCCCCACACCCCAAGCCAATGCCAGAGACCTTGCGGCGACAAAAGCCGCCTGTGGCATCACCCGCAACTGCTGCATCTGGTCTAAAAGGTTGTGCTTGAACACACTGCAAAGTAGGGCTGGGTTTTGACACAAATTTCACGATTCGATTCCCATTCACAAGCTTGCGATCCGATTCGATTAACGATTCGATTCAATTCTATATCGATTATTTTGGATATATATCAGGGTACAGTACATGCCAGATTTTCTCAAGGAAAAAGAATCTCTCAATTAAAGCTGTAAAGTATACATGAGAGTCAGTTGGTACAACATTACTATAATATTGAAGGTTAAAATTAATGTTAAAGTTTTTACAATAATAAGGTTACAGTTACATATTAATATTTCTACTTCAATTAGTTTTTTTTTTTTAAATATAAACATTTAAATGGTGGCTGTCATAAAAACTTGATGGATTTATTCAAACATAAATTAAACATTGAAGAACAGTAAAAATTATAATGAATATGCTATGCATATATTAAGCAAAATGCCCCTCTCTACAGTTTATTTTTCTATCTGACTAATGAGTTCATGGTCACCGAATATGTTTTTTTTTCTGAGGTAAATGTGACGTTATGTGACATTGTTTACAAGCCGTCATATTGGCGTCTTTGTGCGGCTGAAACATAGATTGAGCGATTACATGACACAGGATACGGATTGTAAAGTTGTACTCTTTCTTTTACTTCCCTTCGGATTTTTAGTCATGTTTATTTTGTGCTGAAACTGGTATTAATGTGGAGGAGATGATCAGTTCACATGCGCCTCCTATTGAACTGAGGCGCGCCGTGCTACAGCGATCTGTCACTCCACATTAAGCAGCGCCAAAACGGCATTTATTGTTTGAATACTGCAATACAATGGAAAGAATTTGAAATCTGAGACTTTGTTTCATATTAAAAGTAGGCTACCAAAGCACAATGCTTATTGCGATTTATTGGATGGGAAGTGCCCTTCAATGTTCTGTCCATTAACTGAAA